AAAGGGACACTTTGATTCCGGGCGAGTAGCGTAGCGTTCGGTTCGTCTCCGTTTTTTGCAATCTGACTATCTGAGCAACCTGTTGCTTTCAGCCGCGCACTATTCCGGACCTTCTCGAACGGCGAAGAGACGACCGAACATAGGAGTACTACATACTTAGCCGTCGGCGAGACGGCGACACTCTGCGTTGCAATCGGATATGTTAGACTATTGGCCCATTGGGGCGTCAAAAAACACGACACGAAGTTTGATCCAAAACACACAGTTTTCCTCGCATGCATGCGCTACTTCCAAAGCGTGCGTCAACCAGTTGAAAACAGAGCCGTATAGTCGTATACAGGCAGCTCTAGCACACTCGAACGAATCTGGTAGCTAAAGGGCATTCCACACCAGTTGTTTTCTCCAGCAGACAGAGAATTGTTATTCCTCTATACATACAGTACGACGATAGTTACGTGTCCAATTTCCTGCTACGTGGTAGCAGTAGCACTCCATGTGCACTTGCCGACGTCCTCGGAACGTTGCAGTGTCAGGACGGTGGTTGACTCGCTTTGCACCGCTCTGTCGTTGACAGGCATCATGAAGAGGCTCCCGCGCCTCGCGTTCGTCTTCTTGCTGGCGCTGGTGTACCGGCAGCTCCAGGCGCCGCCTCCCAAGATCCCCGGAACGCCCGGCGGCCCTCCGGTGACGTCGCCGAGGATCAGGCTCAAGGACGGCCGGCACCTGGCCTACCATGAATCGGGCGTGCCCAGGGAGCAGGCCAGGTACAGGATCATCTTCATGCACGGGTTCGACTCCTGCAGGTACGACGTGCTCCGGGTGTCGCCGGAGCTGGCCCGGGAGCTGGGCATCTACCTGCTCTCCTTCGACCGGCCCGGGTACGGGGAGAGCGACCCGCACCCGGCTCGGACCGAGAAGAGCGTCGCCTTGGACATCGAGCAGCTCGCCGACGCGCTGGAGCTCGGCCCCAGGTTCTACCTCACCGGCTTCTCCATGGGCGGCGAGATCATGTGGAGCTGCCTCAAGTACATCCCGCACAGGTACGGCAGGCAGCCTCTGGTCTGGATTTTGAGAAGGCAAGAAGATCATGGGCTGAATTTCGCAAACTTGCAGGCTTTCGGGCGTAGCCATCCTGGGCCCTGTGGGCAACTTCTGGTGGTCCGGGTTCCCTGCGAACGTGACCCTGGACGCCTGGAACGTGCAGCTGGCGCAGGACAAGTGGGCCGTGGGCGTGGCGCACCACGCGCCCTGGCTCACCTACTGGTGGAACGCCCAGAAGCTGTTCCCGGCCTCCAGCGTCATCGCCTTCAACCCGGCCATCATGTCCCGGGCCGACATGGCACTCATCCCCGCCTTCGCCTACAGAACCCACACCGTAAGCTAGAAGCTCTCTGATCCGATTCCCCCGTTTTATTATTGGGATGTTTCTCACCTTGTGTGACTTGCATGCAGCACCAGGTGCGGCAGCAGGGGGAGTACGAGAGCCTGCACCGCGACATGATGGTCGGCTTCGGCAAGTGGAGCTGGAGCCCGCTGGAGCTGGAGGACCCGTTCCCGGGCGGCGAGGGCAAGGTGCACCTGTGGCACGGCGCCGAGGACCTCATCGTGCCCGTGGGGATGTCGAGGTACATCGCCCAGAGCCTGCCGTGGGTGCGCTACCACGAGCTGCCCACGGCCGGACACCTCTTCCCCATGGCAGAAGGGATGGCCGACGTCATCGTCAAGTCGCTGCTGCTCGGCGACGACTGACGATTTGTGACCGTCGTCGTCGTCGAGTCTCCCCCTCTCCCTCTTCGTCCTGCTGGGTTTTCGGGTGCAGCTCTTTTGGGTCTTGCTTTGTAGTGCTGTGAGAATGCTACTGACATGTCTTTGCGATTGTTTCTTCTATTCCTGTCCTATATTATACAGATATATAGAGAAATATATATAAGAAAAATAAGCTCTGTAGTCTCAAAAGGTTTGTCTTCCGTTTCTCTCACCAAAAAGGCTATACACATTTCGCTGCTCAAGGTGCCTGTTCGTTCAAAGAAATGATTTCGCTTCTAATAGAGCGCGAAGGTGAGGGACAGAAGAGGGAGTTATGCGCCCAGACTAGGCTGAAAAGAAGCTTTAGGCCCACTAATAATTCAGGGAGTGCAAAGTCATGGGCTAGGAGAGGAACTGAGGATCAGGGTGAAAAGAAGTTTTAGGCCCACTAATAATTAAGGGTATAATTAATTTGTAAAGAAGCGTGCTAGTTATGTCTTTAGTTCTTTAGTTGCAAACATGCCCGCGCGTTGCGACGGAAGGAAAAAAACCTGTTAAATATTTTTAGGGAACGACAATAAGAATGGTACATATTATTTATGTTTCACCATTTATAAATTCAAAAATTGAAAGTTACAATTTATTTTTTGATGGCCATGACATCTACAATATAATTTATTGTTGGCAACTATGACAATAACTATTAATCCTGTATCGAACTAAAATACAATTTTGATGGTTTTTTCTCCTGCTACAAAGCGCATAAATATTTAGATATAAATACATCATTTCTTTAATTTTTGTTCTATATATGTGCTGGTATAATGAAATATTGAGTTCCGTGACCTTTGAGGCCCTATAAAAATTTGTCAACAACAAGTTAGTTGTCGACGTGTCGAAGATTGGTCTATCCACTGATGATTAATGTGGGAGACCTCTCTCAACTTTTTACATGTTAGCCCTCACCGTGGACCGTACAGATACATTTATTTAGAATGGATTAGATAAGCAATAAAGTGCTCAAGATTTCAGTTCACATTTTGATTAGTTGAACTGTTGGCTAATCTAGATTTCAATAAGAATATGTTTCTAATAAAAATTATGTTAACAATTTGGTATTAGAAACCTTTATTTTCTTACAGATTACAAATAGTCAATGGTTGAAATATCTATAATATTATATTTATTATTGATTTTATTGGAGAAAGAAATAGATAACCTGACCGGATAAACGAACAACAAAAACCAATGAAAAGATCCAAAACAAAAAAATGGATGGACACCCAAACCTATAGGAACCAACGTAGGAAAAGAAAAAAATTATTTATTTATTAGACCAAAACCGAAGGGAACAAGGTTAATAGGATCGGGCGGACACAGAATTGACTTTAGGAAAAAAAAACAGTTGCATGATTGCTGAAACCGAGCCACTTTAGGATTATTAGGTTGGACGAAAGATTTTGCGCAACAAATTTTACCTCTTCAGTATTAGGGATAGACTAATGGGCAGATGCTAGCGTCCGTACATTCGGACGGACGTGCACGTCCGGACGCCCGCACTTGTGTCGTGCGCCCCTCAGTTCCTGCACCTCCTTCGTTTCCCGTGGCCACGTCGTGTGGATGCGTCGCCCTGCCCGCACCGCCCGCTTGCACATGGGAACGGCCCGCTTCAACACCTCTTCTCGCGCGCACATGGGGACCCCCTGCGCTTGCACCAACCGCTTCCCATGCCGCTTCACACGTGAACGGCATGCACGGCGCCAGCTGCAGGTGGGTACCATTGCACAAGTGTAACACCATATCTACTTTGCAACATCTAGATAAAACACACACTCGCAACATACGTCTAAAACACTTACAAAACGCCCGCAGGTGGGTCCCATTGCAACATGTGCAACACCAGATCTACTTTTGTAACATCCAGATGAAACACTTGCAATATATGCCAGAAACAACTGAAACACTTGCAAAACGCCTAAAAACACTTGAAAGTCGTTGCAGGCATATGCAACATCCAAATAAAACACTTGTAACATATGAGTGAAACATATGCAACATTTAGATTAAACTCTTGTAATATACGTATAAGAAACAGATGAAACATTTGAAATAGACGCTTGCAACATGCATGTATAGTCATTGCAACATCTCGATCTACTTTGTAATATTCATGCGAAACACTTGCAGCATACCTCTGAAACATCTGAAACAATTGAAGCACACTCTTGCAACATGCGCTTTTGCGTAACATCTCCTTGCTGCTTGCCACACTAAGGGAGCGCAGATATGCGCGCGCCTTGGCTGCGCCAAGCCACCATGCCCCTGCAGTCGAAGATCATCCACGAGCAGGCCGACCAGTAGCACGGGCGACGAGAAGGACGTCTACACGAGGAAGGGGCGGAGGCGCATCAAGGTAGCCGCCAAAGCACGATGCCATAACAAACAGATTGCCCGTGCGGTTGCGTACACCTGTGGCAAATGAGTTCATTTACTATACATCACCAGCTAGAGGACTATGCCATTGGGTGGCGGAGGAAGTGACCAGAGAGGCAGCCACATCTGGTACCAGAGCAAGGCGAGGACGACATAAAGGTCACGAGGAAGACGAGCGGCCGGAACAGGCAAGAGGCGCAATGGAGAGGGAGGAAGGCGGCCGGCCGCGCTCGGGCGTGGTGGAGATGCGGGCGGTGGGTGGTGGGACACCGTGGAGAACGCTGAGGCGGCGCGACAAAGCATGGTCGTGGCGCTGTGTTGATTGTTTGAGAAATTGCGTGACTGAAGAGCCTTCTGGAGAAGTGATGGTACGAAGATAGGATATGAGGGGTTGTTGGGCTGACGTCGCGGCTCACCAAAAGGAGCGTTCGGATGGAGGGACGCCCTACAAGAAGTATTACCGTTGCTAATATATGATCGATAGCTCCCATGCGTAAACAAAATGATTATCAACAACAATAAAGTCGGCCTGCTTTAAATTAACAATGTATATAAGCCCATAAACATGTCAACATGTCATAGACACTTGAATGTGACACCTAACCGCCCATACCCATACCCATCCCATCTGTACCAGCATTACAGTTTTTGCAGCTCTAAAGGCTCAAATCATTCCAAAGCCTAGCACGATATCGATCCATGATAACCACCGTCCACCGCCAAATAATCCATACAGACATTAACAAATGAAAAGAGATATATTCAAGATCACAAAGTCTGCTCTTAGTATAATCATATCGCCTGCCTGATCTACTGATTAATTAATCGTCCATCTCCGCCGTCTTGGTCTTGGGTGGCCCGAACCTCTTCTCGAGCCGGCGGAGCTCCTCCGGCGAGAGGCCGAACGCCCTCTCGAGTACTCCATCCTTGATCCCTGACCCGAACACGGTGGCCGGGATGCGCACGATGCCGGGGTTCTCGCTGTTGAAGCTGCCATACACCGTGGCGGGCTCGTCGCCGACGTTCATCTGGAAATGCACCATGGCGCGCGGGAACACCATGACCTCCCCCTTCTCGAGCACCTTGGCGAAGACGCGCCCCCCCGAGTCGACGAAGCCCGCGTAGACGCGGCCCGCCAGGACGAGCGCCGTCTCCGTGGCGCGCGGGTGGTAGTGCGGCGGGTTCACGCCGCCCGCGGCCGAGAGGTCGGCGCGCGCGAAGGACATCCCCAGGGTGTGCAGCGCCGGGAACGTCGCGGGGGTCACGGACACCCCCGCGAACCCGGTGTCCGCCGAGAAGTTGCCCGCGGCGCGCACGCCCGCGGAGGTGAAGTCGGCCGCTGTCAGGTTCGCGGGGCTCCTGCACGGGTAGGACGGGAGCCGCGCCGGATCCACGGGCACGGCACGCCCGCCCGTGTCTGGCACGCAGTAGTCTTGCACCACGTCGGGGTCCGCCGTGGACGACGATGGGAGCAGCACGGCGGCGAGCAGGAGGAGGAGCAGATCACGCGGAGCCATTGCTGCAGATTCCTAATGCTAGCTAGTGTCGTCGGTCGCTGGCTCAGCCCGTCACCCGTCGGCGCGTGGTCACCACTAAACTCTCGAGTTGCAGCTGCAGCTTTGCCTGGGGAGGAGGGCGGCTGGTCTCATCTCTGTGACTCTGTTCTGGAGTACATTTATGCTAAACGAACATGTCTACTAAACTATGATTTGCGACGCACCTAACTTTTAGGTTGGAATGTTTTAAATTCCTTTCCATATTTCGCTTGAGTGGCCTTTTCAGTTTCTTTGATTCGTTTCTCATTTTTTTTTGTTGGTGCCGAGACCAAAAGAAAATGAAATAACAAGCCAGTAAGCTAATCTCTTACGACCCACGGCAGCAATCCTACCTTTCCTTCCATAAATCATGGAATTTTTCGGCCTGCATATTTTATCCGTGCGTGCGCTGATGTGCAGATTTTGTTGTTGAGTGTCGGGCCTGTCGGCTTGTTTGAAATAGAGTGGAGTGGTGGGTGCGGTGAAAAGAAATAGTAGGATACATGGAAAACCATGAGAAATCGTGGAGAAAAAAAAAAGGCGGCTTCCTGGAAGTAGTAGTAGAAAACAGAGTACTTCTTGGGCCTTGTTAATTTTTGCAATCCAAACACTGTACCACGTTTCGTTTGTATTTGACAAATTTTGTCCGATCATGGACTAACTAGGCTCAAAAGATTCGTCTCGTGATTTATAACCAAACTGTACAATTAATTATTTTTTTATCTATATTTAATGCTCTATATATGTGTCCAAAAATTGATGTGATGAAAAGAGAGTGAAAAAACTTGGAATTTTGATGGTATCTAAACAAGGCCTTGGAAGACCTTGAGGTTGGCAAGCATCTTTGACTGGAGAAGAAAATTCCTTGGGTCAGGTCATCAGTCGTCGCCCGTGTGGATTTTAGCTAAGCTTCCAGGAAATGCATGAGTCATCCTTATCCTCAACAAAAGAAAAATACGAAACGCACAAATTCATGTGATTCTATCATGTCAGAAGATGAGGACCATTGGGCCAGACCTGTTTTCTTTTTTGGTGAAATCCAGACCTGGGTTCTTGTTCCGTTGTTCCTCAACACTGGAGGGTTTCGATGATGCCTTCATTCTGGGCTTTGGGGGGGGGTAATCATGTCATGCTCCAATCTCCATGAATGCAAATTGCTCGGAAGGTAATTTTGGTGCCGATTGGGCCGATGCTGACCTGTGTGTAGCAACGTACGTTCTCCCGCTTTTTGTGAGCAGGGAGTAGTATGACCGTGCCAACGTCTCACATCTGGGCAATGATGCTTTCGTGGCGTAGCAGACTGGACACATGCCCGCCGCCGAACGCGAAGCTAGGCAGCTAGCTACCGCCGTATCGGCTGGATATCCCTTGCCACTGACGCAACTTGCTTGCAGCATCTCCTGCATCATTGCTTACACAAGACACGGTGATTAGAATGTACATGATATATATCTATGCACTCTTCATTAAAGATTAAACATTATATCAGAGTACAACCACCTATGCAATGAAAAAGAAGAGATCCCACACCATGGATTAAGCACACGCAAGTCCTTGTGCTGGCATGCCATTTTCATTGCTAACATGCCATTTTAATGATCTTATTTCAAATTGAAATTTAATTTTGAACACGTGCTGTGTTAAGAAACTTTGAATTTACTTAAGCCAATATGCTGGAAAATTATATGATAAGATACTACTTCTGAACCATGAATTTAGATGATTTTTTCTAGGTTTTTGGAGACCATTTTGAGGCCAAACATCTTAGGCCAAAATTTAACTATAGCATTGCGGGGAGAATTTTAATAGAAAATCAATGATCTAGGTTGAAATAAAATGAAATTACTCTTGATTTTTGGCATCCACTTAAAAAATTACAACATTTTTCGAGGTTCATAAAATTATCTATTTGGATTCGACAAAAAGGTAAAAAAAATGCAAAGGAACGTTGGCTACTGTACCGTGTCATGCAATTTAAGACATTGCAATGGCGTGATTTAACTGGCACGACACACATGTGACAATGGCCAAACGTGTCCATTAAGTCACATTAATGCATATGGTGTGCCTACAGTAAATACTCCTTGTTATAGTGTAAACCGTCTGTGGGCCTGCCGACCCAAGCTCCCAATAATGCGTATGTGCTAAATTCCCCTGAGTAATACATCGAGTATTCCTCAATTCATACGTTCTTGTCCGTTCACATGGTATCAGAACCAGAGGTCTTGAGTTCGAATCCTAGTTAGCGCAATTGAATAAAATAATTGTTGTTCGCTCCTATTCCACGTCTGAGGCCTCAGGGAGCCTCCACGTGAGGGGAAGTGTTAAAATATAAGTGAATTGTTTACCTCTCCCCATCAACTTAAGCTTTTGAGTTGAACTGGTCGGTGCATCGATCTTCACCTCCACCGGACCTCACCAGCTGATCTCACTATCTACACGGATGCTGATTGGATGGGATGTCCTGACACTCGCAAATCCACATCGGGTTATGCGGTGTTTCTCAGGGACAATCTCATCTCCTTGTCGTCCAAGCGTTAGCCTACAGTGTCTCGATCTAGTGCAGAAACTGAATATCTGGCTGTTGCGAATGGAATAGCTGAAGCTTGCTGGTTACGACAACTTCAGCAAAAGCTTCGCTGTCCTCTCCGTCGCACCACATTGGTCTATTGTGACAACGTCAATGCTATCTACCTCTTCACCAACCCAGTCCAGCATCAGCGAACCAAGCACGTCGAGATTGACTTGCACTTCGTCAGAGAACGAGTCGCCCTCGGTGAAGTCCGCGTCCTGCACGTTCCCACTTCGTCCCACTTCGTCCCACTACGCCGACATCTTCACCAAAGGTCTACCGACGTCCGTCTTCACGGAGTTTAGGTCCAGTCTGAATGTTCGCGGTGCTCCCAGTTCCGACTGCGGGGGAGTGGTAGAGTGTAAACTGGCCCGTGGGCCTGCCGACCCCGGCTCCCCACCGTGACTATATGTATGCATTGATTTCCCCTAAGTAATACATCGAGTATTTCCCAACTCATACGTTCTCACTCCTTAGTTTAAATGACTAGTTTAGGACATAATTTTTTTTAAATATTTTAGGCTCTATTTAGATAGACTAGGACTGTTTGCTCTTACTATCTGTGAAGTAGCGGGCTAACAACTAGTTAATGGCAGTGGTGGAGTGGAACCAAAGACAGCAGGGGTGGACAAGAGCCTCTTTGGCAGGGCTCCTGCAGGGGCTTTAGCTCCGGCTCCTGCAGGAGCTGTGCCAAACGTCTGTTTTAGAAAGGGCTCCGCATTGGGAGCCGGTCAAGAGTCGGAGTCATTTTTGCCTGCGCAGGAGAAGCCTAAAAAACGAGCTTCGCGCGGCTCCTTGCTGTGGGTTCACGTCGTCTAGTGCGAAGGAGCTGTTTTGCCAAACGTTTTCTAGAACGGCTTCAGCTCCTCCAGAGGAGCTGCTCCTTCAGAGGAGCCAGAGCCGGAGCCATTTTCAGAGGAGCCGGAGCCCTGCCAAACAGGCCATAGATTATGTGATAATTAGGTGGTTATTTTATAGTGTAACAAAAGAACAAACAATACATATAGTGGTAATCACAAAAGAACAGGGGTGGCCATGGCTAGTGGACTAACAATTAGAACTAACTAAAATGGTAACTTTTATAGACAATAATAAAGAAGGATATTTTAATGTCACAAAATAAAAAAAAGTGGGATTCAAAATGAAATTATGCAAGTCCATTGCATTGATTAGCAAAACTAATCAATTGATTTTTCTAGGCATCCTGTTTAGCTCCCGCTAAAGCAATTGTAGCAGCTCCCGAACCTATTGATTTAGCTCCTTCTAACGTGTAGAGTTGAGAGTTTTTTACATTGTTTCATGCTTCTCTTTCGCTACTCAAAATTTTGATACTATTTAATTTTTTTGACTAAAAATTAGTTAACTAGCTGCTACTTCTATGGGTTCAAACGGAATCTTAGTATTTTTTTTGTTTATATATAATAAAAAATTCACTAGAAACATGGTCGAGAGACTCAAAGGCCGAAGCACGGGTTCGCGGTACTCACGCAGGCCGAAGCTTACATCTCTTCCGTTTCTGGGTACAGTGCTTTCCATGGGCTCATGGGCTGTGGATATGTCAGATGTTCGGGTGGGCTCATTGCAACGACAGCGCACTAACTTCCAAAATCCAAACTTCGTTAGCTTCCAAACTGGCCATCGTGTCAACCGGTGCTTGTCTCTTTGCGAGATGGCAAATAATTTTGGCGGCATGCATGTACACAAAGTCATATCTCGATACTATTGCGAAGAAAGAAAAGGTGAGAGCGACGTTGCTGCGCATATGGCGGAATGGCTGACGCAAACAGCAAACCGCTGGCATTTTGTGGCTGAATAGCAAAGCTTGCATGCCTCTCAAAATCCTTTTAGGCATATAGCATTTCGACGCCTTTGTTTGAACGTCGATCGTGCAAGTACCTTTCAAGTTATTGTTGCATTTATTTTATATATAGATATAGATTCGTTGCGCTGTTCATGATTTTTTTTCTTAGATACCCATGCCCGTGCTCACAGGCCTGATATAAACACCAGTGTCCTGTCCATTTCCAGGATCTTTATCGATTCATTTCAATCGCGCGCGCTCCGTGTTGAAGCCTCAAGTTGTTATATATTCAGGACTTAGCGGTGTCTAGAACGTGGAAAATGATTTCGTTTCACGTTCCAAGAATTTTATTCCCAAAAATGAGGAAGCCAAACAATGTTCCAAAGCGTAGGCTAGAGCTTGAACCAGATCGAAGATACGAAGAGGGGAAATATATCGGTGGGTCAACACCGGAGAACCAGTTTAAGTTAGAGTTTAGAGTTCAGTACAAGTATTTAGGGCGGCTCCAACGGACTAGCTCCGAGCTAGCTGACAAGATTTTCATCTACGTGGGTGAGATAGAAAAATGGAAAACTCGTCGCTACCTCATTGATTTAGTCTCCCAAGACA